GCGTAGATCTTCAACTAGGAGAATTACGAGGCTATTGGAGACAGCAGGATCCCGATCTATGATTTAGACCCACAAATCAGGAAGTCACTCCAGAGATCCAAGGACCTAGCAAGATTGCGGAGTATCGACAGTCGACGACCATGGATCTGCTACCGGGAGAGTCCCGAGGTTACTGGAAACACCATTCGCCAGGTAAATGGTTTCGCCAGGCGAAGATCACAGGCAAGATCTACAATGAGAAGGCGATCTTACTCGTAGATACCGGCGCCGAGGTGTCCATCGTGGACACCGCCTTTGCTAGTAAGGTTGGGCGCTATATCGATTCGAGCCAGATCCAAGACTGCGTGGGAATTGGTGATAATGTGTACCAGACGGAAGGAAGAACTCGGATCAAGGTGACTCTCGCCGGATCACTTGTGTATTTCTTCGAAATCTGGGTGGGTGATCTGACCGGCCATCAAGCTATACTCGGCATGGACTTCATGGTTCCAGCTGGGATCCGCCTGGATCTAGCCCATGGATCGATCAGTTTGCCGAACGAAGTCCGGATCCAGCTTAGCGGAAGGCGACCACTCTATAGTGACAAAGCGAAGATCGTCCCTCCGGATCCAAGCAGGGAAGTCGGTGGAACTACCACTACGCCTGAGGTCGTCGATCCACGACAAGTTGTGGGTCACGCGTGGAGATCGATGGGTGCCAACGATATCCAGCGGACCAGGGCGGACGAAATACCTCTCGATCACCAATATTGGGGACGAGGTGTTGATCCTGCACCAAGACCAACGGATCGGGATCTGGCTGGCTGGCGATCATGTGCCGCGGATACCGGGCTTTATCTCGATCGGGTCTCGCCGTTACATGGAGTGGCAGAATCAGGCGTTGGAAGCTACGACAGACACCCGATCCGGAGGTCAAGGACAAAAAGATGCCCGCGGTGGAGCGGCCCGAGTATGAAACTCCGCGCGCAATACTCCAAAGTCCGAAGGCAACGTTGATCCAGCGTCGGAAAGACGAAGCGAGTCAGGATCAAGATATTCCTGACTGCCCACCCTAGGACGAGTCGCCTTCGGACAAATCGCCGTCGGACAAATCGCCGTCGGAGATGCGACCGTGGGATCTAACGTCGGTCGCGAGTGAAGAGTCGGATCTATCGTCTATCGCAGACGAACACTCTATATCGCATGCCGTAACGGTCAAGGAGGCGCCAGAAGATCGTGATCAAGTGCCACCGGACATATGGGCGACTAATCCGCTGGTGGAGAAAACAACGCACATGGAAGGACTGCGAGAAGAAGATAGCCGAGATGAAATTGAGGACGTCAGCCTGGATCTACTACATTCGAGGGGGCAAGATCAAGGAACATCGCCGTCGGAACGCGGTGGGTCGGATCTGCCATCAATGGTGAGTGTATAGCCTGGGACAGGACATGTGACCGGTGATCCATTGAACGACAAGTGCGCCACATCTATGTCGCAAAAAACGGGCATGGATCCATCACCTATTGTTGAAGATCAACCAGGCATATCGGATCTGGATCTTACCTGGGACTCAGATCAAGATTATGTTGAATGTGTGTATTACCATGAAGGAAGCGATCTGTACGCCGAGGATGTCGATGGTCAGATGGCGGTGCTGCCAGAAGTACCTGTGACGACGGGAGATGTGAGGATCGAAGATAGTCAACTATGCGGATCTGATAATCATACTCCAGAGGAAATCGAGCGACTTCGCCAGAAGATCTGGAAGTTCCGACATCTCGACATCTCTTGATCGGTAAGGGAAATGCCCTTCCGCCGGCAGCTAGAGGCGTTGTGTGCGATATCGATGTCGGGGGAGCGAGACCCATCGCCCTCAGGTGCGGTAAGTTGCTGATCCAGTTCAGAGAGAAGCTTGCAGACCTGATCAAGGGTCTACTGTCTGTAAACATGATCAACTACTCCAGATCACCGTGGGCTTCCCCAATCGTGGTGATCATTAAGAAGAATGGAGTGGATATCAGGTTATGCATTGATTATCGGCTGGTTAATAGCCTGACGCAACTGATGGTATACCCAATGCCCTTGATCAACGATCTACTCGAAGATCTGGAATCGACACTTTGGTATTGTTCTTTGGACATGGCAAGTGGATTTTGGGTCGTGAAAATGACGGATCGTGCGCGCCTGATCTCGGCTTTTATCACTCCGTTTGGGTTATTCGAGTGGAATCGAATGCCTTTTGGCCTGAAGAATGCGCCCCAGATCTATCAACGTATGATCGATAATGCGCTATATGGGTTCACCCGGATCCCGAGGTCTGAGGATCACGGAAGTACTGCGGATGTGTTCGAGAACGGGGAACCGGTGGATCCAGGCAAGCCTTCGGTGCTTGGTCGCAGA